AAGGAAGGAAGGAAGGAAGGAAGGAAGGAAGGAAGGAAGGAAGGAAGGAAGAAAGGAAGAAAGAAAGAAAGAAAGAAATGAAGAAAGAAAGAAAGAAGTAAAAGTGAAAATAATGAGTTTATGGGGCTGGGGGTATAGTTCAATTGTCAGAGTGCTTGCCCAGTGTGCATGAAGCCCTGGGTTCAATGCCCCATATACCACATTAAAACTGGGCACGGTGGCACACAGGAGTAAAGGGGTCAAAAGTTCAAGGGTTGCAGCTAGAAAGATGGTTCTGTGGTTAAGAGCACTGGCTACTCTTCCAGAGGACCTGAGTTCATATCCTACACCCACATTAATGCTTGTAACTCCAGTTTTAAAGGATATGATGCCCTCTTCTGGACTCTAAGGGTATCTGTACTCATGTGCACACACACACACATATACATGCATAAGTAAAAATAGTAGTAAATATTTTTAAAAGACCCTCAGTTATGTTCATAATAAAATAAATGCAAATAAAAACTAGTTGAGTAAGGATAGAAAAACAGAGGAAATTAATGGGGTGTGGGAAAAAATTTACTCCCCATTATAGAGCCTTGAAGTCTCATCAGCTAAGAATCAATAATACCAGCATCGTTAACATTTGCTGTGAAGGCTGCAAATGTAAATGTCTATTCCTTGTATGCAGAGATATTTTTAAAATAATATGGTTAATGTAGTAATGAACTCCTGTGTAGGACGTGAGCATTTGTGAACTGCAAAAAACGACCTGTTCCTTTCCCCAGTGTTTTCTAGAAATCTCACAAACAAGACAATTTATGGCATTACAGTGAACTTTCCAAGCAACTCTTTCAATCCAGGCCTTTACCTCAGCAGCTGCAATCATGTCTGGAGGATCTGGGGACCCACCCTGTGATCACATTCAAATTTCTTGCAGAACTTTAAAGCCAATAACATCAAAAGTCACTAAAATCTGGCCAGTGAGATGGCTCAGCAGGTGAAGGGGCTCAGTTTGAGCCCCAAGATCTACATGGTAGAAGAAGGGAACTGACTGGCTTCCACACATGCGTGGCAATGTGCGCCCTCATTCCCATCCCCACACAATAAATATAATGCAACTTATTTTTTAATCGCCCAACTCCCACACATATATATTGTTATAAAGACAATGACTCCTTTTAGGAGGACACACCCACACTCTTGGGTAGCCTGACTTGTTCTCTGAACTCTTCTCTGTTACCCCTCTACACGTTTTAATCTATATTAAAAAATCTCTTTTAGAGCTGGGAATGTAGTTCAGTGGGGAACGAATGCCTGGCATTTGTGAGGTCTTAGGTTTACTCTCCAGGATGATTGGGCGGCGGGGTGGGGCGGGGTGGGGCGGGGCGGGGAAGTCTCTTTTAATAAATAAACCGCAGCTCTGTTTTTGAATCGGCTAATGCTGGCACTGTTTTCTGCAGGGAAGTCGAGGCTGACCTTTACCTGGGAGGAGAAAGGTGACAGCTCAGGCCAATACAAGCAGCCGTGTGGCACTGTGTCTCACTTTAAGATCCGACGCCACTGCTGACAGTGAATTACTGTCTCAACTGTCAGGTTAGCTAACACAGGTCTGAAAGTGCAGAACACCATGCGTAGAGAAGGCAGTGGAGAACAGGTACTCATGTTTTGTTAAAGGAAATAAAAAATGATGCAATACATGGAGAAGAAATTTGATAATACTTAGCAAAATTTCATAGATACGTACCAGTTAATCCAAAAACCCCACTTCTAAGACTCCCTAGCAGACTGGGCATGCTGGTACAGGCTTGCAATCCTAGCACTTGGGTGACTAAAGCAAGAAGACCGACAGTTCAAGGCTAGCCTGGGCTACTTAGAGAAACCCCGTCTCCAAAAGAAAAGAAGAATCTTGGCAAAAACACACAAAAAATGCATCCTTAATTGGTTGAAATAATAGGAGACTTGGAATCCACAAATCGATTCATCATAGATGGCTCTGATCCATTCATATACGGGAATAGCATGTACTTGTGAAAACAAGTGAGAAACATCTCTGTATACTGATATGTGTATCATATATGTTTAAAGTTGTAAAACTGAAGTTCCCAGAAAAACTGAAAGCTATACCTATGTTAAAGATGCTAGAAGGCAGCTGGGAGGCGGTGGTGCACACCTTTAATCCCATCACTTGAGAGGCAGAGTCCGAGTTTCAGGACAGCCTGGTCTACAGAGCAAGGGTCAGGACAGCCAGAACTACACAGAGAAACCCTGTCTCAAAAGCAAAACAAGAACAAAACAAACAAACAAACAAAATAGAAAAAGAACAAGAAAAAAAAAGATTCCGGAAGGTTAACAACCGAACTTCATGATTTTGGAGAGTGAGACCGTTGAAGACCAGGCAGTGGAGTGATGTCTCAGTGAGTAAGAGCGCTTGATGTAGAGACGTGAGAGCCCGAGTTCAGATCCCCAGCACCGTGTGAAAAGCCAGGTGTGGTCACAGGCACCTGTAACCCAGCACAGAGGAGGTGGGAGTCGAGTACGGAGACGGACAGAGCCTGCTGCTCAGCCAGCCTAGTGAAAACCAGTTAGCTTCCAGTTCAGGCTGCTTTTGTCTCAATAGGCAGAGAGCAACAGAGAAAGACACCTGACATCCCCAGCTGGCCTCTGTGCACACATACATGAATGCCTACCCCACACACATATATACACATGCACACTCGTGTACACATGCTCACACACACACAAAGAATGTTACAGACCAGAGCAAAATATCTTGGGCTATTTTCAGTCCTTTTGGAAGCCATTTATTGCCCACTCCTGTGTCTGACCCAGTGTGTATTCTTAATGGACCACTAGTTTCCACCAGCCCCAAAGCTGAAGTCTGAGACCTGTCGTAGAGGCTTCCTTGCTTTGCTGTAGCCCGCCCACCTGTTGTCCCCACCAGTGTGATTGCCAATTGCCTTGACTTATGACATTGTTTCATAACTAATAAATCTCATGTAATCCTTTGCAGTGGAATGTATCTCTCTGGGAAACCTGGATCCATGTTCCTGGGCTGTGGTTACTCATATTTGGCTCCAAAATAAACTATCTATTCCACATGCAGCAAGAACTGGGTTTTGTAACAACAGGGGGGTGGAGTGAGCAGTTTCTCCATGCTGCTTAGGGACTAACAGTGGACATTCAGAAGAAGTCTGTTCACTACCCCATACAGCAGCTGAGGACAGACACCTGTGGAGAATGTCACGCAGAAGTAAAAGGGATTCTGAAGAGGCCTAAGGTAACATGAGTGCAGCCATGACAGGCTGCAGACTGACAATACTGAAACTAGGCCTCACCCTTACAATAACCAGGAAAAGCCACAAACTATACCCTGTGGGAGACCAATCAGAATTGAGACAAACAAGTCCCAGATGTGATATGGCTGGGCAGAGAAAGGCATTTAAGGCAGGAGAAGACAGAAACTCAGGCCTTTCAGCTGAGGACGCAGAGGCATTCAGTCTGAGGATTCGTGGAGACAGGCTCTTCTCTTTTCGGCCGAGGAGCTGGCGAGGTGAGAAATGACTGTGGCTTGTTTTCTTTGATCTTTCAGCATTTGCCCCAATATCTGGCTCCGAAATTTTATTATAAGACCATTTAGGATTCATGCAACACTGTATAGATAGAGGACTGGATAGATAGAGGACTGGATAGATGGGGGCTGGATAGATAGAGGACTGGATAGACAGAGGACTGGATAGACAGAGGACTGGATAGACAGAGGACTGGATAGATAGAGGACTGGATAGACAGAGGACTGGATAGACAGAGGACTGGATGGATAGATAGGACTGACTGCTCCTTTGGGTTCAATTCCCAGCACCCAAATGATGGCTCAAAGACAAATGTAGCTCCAGTTCCAGGGGTCCTTGGCCACTGGACACACAATCAGAACACACACACACATATATATACATATACACACACATGTGCAAGGCACTTATACACATAAGATAAAAATAAAATAAAAATAGGACAAAATTAAACATTGCTGCCTGGGAAAGGAGAGAATGGAGATGAGGCACAGGTTTGAGCCTAAATTCCTCTGTGTGTGTGTGTGTGTGTGTGTGTGTGTGTGTGTGTGTACCAGCACTGGTAGTGGAATCCAAACTCTTGTGCATAAAATGCAAGCATTCTACCATTGAATTACATCACCAGCTATATTATTTTTGCTTGGTTTGGTGTGTGTGTGTGTGTGTGTGTGTGTGTGTGTGTGTGTGTGTGTGTGTGTGTGTGTTTCTGAGAATGGGTATGTTTGTGTGAAGGCCAGAGGACAACCTCAAATGTTCTTCAGGTACCATCCAGGTTTTGGAGGGAGAGACAGGGTCCCTTGTCAGCCTGAAACTTCCCAAGTTGGCTAGCCAGCATACCCCAGGGATCCGCTGGTCTCCACTTTCCCAGAACTGGCACTGGTTCACAAGCATGTACCACCATGGGTGTTTTTTTGTTGTTGTTTGTTTTTTGTTTGTTTTGTTTTTTTGGGTTTGTTTGTTTGTTTGTTTTTACATGGATTCTGGGAATGGAACTTGGGTCCTTATGCTTGTTGACTGAACCATCTTTTCAGCCCTGCGTTTTGGTCTTTAAGTTAGTTTCGTTAATTGCACAAGATTTTATTTCTTAAAATGTTCCAAACATAAGCTCAAGGTCCTGCTCCCTAGAGGAGATCTCACATATTCCTCTGGGGGCAATGTTTCTTGAAATTCAAGTTCCTCGATCATATAGGACAAGCTGGGAGGCCCAAAGCAAGATAACAAAGCTCTTTTAGCTTCATTCTTCTGGTTTATGGAACAGAGGGGGGCAACACCTTATGGGGCCATTAGGAGGCTTGCGTAGATTTTGTGTGTAAAATGCTAAACATAGCAAGCATCCCTTTGATCCTGTCTCCCAGAGTCCTTCTCTTCCCTCCCTTTCGCTTACCGTCTTTTTCTTCAATGAAATAAGAAGTGCTGTGAAAAAGGAAACAGGAGCTGAGAAGGAAATAAAGTCTGTGGACGAGTATTTTAAACATTAGCAACTCTTTTAAGTCCCTCATTCCTACCTCTACCACAACCAAGACTGCCTCCAAGCTACACGAGGTGCGGACACACAATGCTCAATGGCAAGGCTGAGTCTGGCAAGTCCTGGTTCCGTGGGTAACTTGCTTGCAGGGCGGGGCAAGCGCTGACCGCATCTGAACCTCACTTCTCTCAACTGTAAGTCAGAGACCATGGCTGTCCAGCCTCATCACACAGACACTCCCGTCATCCTGTGAATGGAAGACCACTTGTACGAATAGTCACCCTAGGCAAATTGTGTGATCCACGGAGAATTCTCCACCCTCTCTTCCCTTCTCAACCTTTGAACCAAGGGTTAAAGATGATCATTTAGACAACTATGTCAGCACTTTCAGAGATTAACACCTCGAGATAACCTGGTAGAGTTAGTCTAATTAGCCCCAACAGATAGCAAAATCCGAACACTTCGGGGAATAAATAGGGAGTTCAGAACGGAATGAGATGGGAGAGAGGCAGGGGCAGGAAAGTCACTACCAGTTTCAGGCCAGCCTGGTCTACATAAAGAGTTCTGGATCAGCCAGGGCTACATAGTAAGGCCCTATCCCAAATAAACAAAGCACAGAAGGAAGGTAGAGAGCCACTGCCTTGGGTTCTAGAGGAGCCTTTTGGAGGTCTCTTCACATGTTAGCTGCCTTTCTTCAGGGAGTCACTCCCTGACTTGGGGAGAGCTGCATCTCCTATCTAGATGTCCTAATAAAAAAGCCTTGTTTGGCCCCTGGGTCTAGGCTTCTGTCTGTGTTCTTGGGTCTGGACACCCAGCTCCAGCAAGTGGCAATAGTACTGTGTAACAGCACTCTTCTCTCAGTGGCACACAACAAAGCACACTTGTTTCCTAGCTGGTGAGTCGATGCATTGGTGGGGCCCCTCTCTGGACTGGGGCTGCAAGTCCACTCTAGGTTTACTTTGCAGTCTTTTTCAGTCTAGGCCTAAACAAGGGCATCGCTGATGGATGGCATAGCAAAAGCCATTTGGACAAGCTTTCTTGGCATGTGCAAAGCTCCATCTCACGTCACCTCCGCTAACATGATATTGGTCAACAGCAGCCATGGGCTGTTCCTCTGTTAAGGAAGGTATTCTGGCTGTACTAGTGCAAGGCTTGGGAGAGAGCCATGGAAACAACAGTCTGAATGCAGGGAGCAAAAGATTTGGATCGTGACGTACACCGCTAGTGAAATGACAACTAGTAGCATTATAGATTATTATTATAATAGATCCTAAATTATATACCATAAAAGATATAATGTATGGCCGGGCGGTGGTGGCGCACGCCTTTAATCCCAGCACTTGGGAGGCAGAGCCAGGCGGATCTCTGTGAGTTCGAGGCCAGCCTGGGCTACCAAGTGAGTTCCAGGAAAGGTGCAAAGCTACACAGAAAAACCCTGTCTCGAAAAACCAAAAAAAAAAAAAAAAAAAAAAAAAAAAAGATATAATGTATGGTAATAATGATTACATTTTGCCCAATTATTCATCATTTACAAGTATATTTCTAATTTATTATAAATGATACAACACAGTGATAAAACGGTAACTAACATTTATTGAGTCTTCGGTGTGAGCACTTTGAAAACATACTTGGAATAAATGAACTCATTTACCACTCACAGCAATACTGTGAGGGGGGATAGCATTCCAATCTGTATTTCACAGATGATAACCAAGACACAGCAGGGACACGGGAAAACCCAGATCACACAGTAAACGACAGAGGACAACAGCGGCAATTATGAGGGCAAACTGTACACTTTCCCTTTGCCTCCTCCTGTCCTCCTCCACCCAGCTAGTCCCCTCCCACTGTCCTCTAGCCACGCTGAGGTCCCTCACCCAGGCCCATTCATCCATCCCTGACCTCTCCTGTCAGCGGCTCCTTCATTCAGCTCTGCCAGCTTCTCCTCCCTGGTCGCCTTCACTCCACTCAGGACTCGGACTCTTCTTTCCCCAGGATCTGCCGTCAGCCTTGCTGCTGGTGAAATCTTGGTTGAGTCACTCACTCTCTTGTGTCAAAAGTTTCTATGATCGCCGGTGCTCTGGAGACAAAGTTGGTCTGACATACAGGCCCTTTGTTTTCTGATTTAAAAAAAAGAAAGAAAGAGAAGAGAAGAGAAGAGAA